ATTCATTGAAAAGAATACTTATTTCCTCTGGGTCTTCGATGATTTTATCGTCAACTTTTAGCTTATTAATTTCAAGATTGTTTTGTTTTCTATTCATTATACCGTTTATTATTTCCCATTTTTGTTTGGAGCAACTCTTTGCCTCTTCAAATTTTTGTTGAAAATAATTTTTTTCTGCCTTTCTCTTTACTGATGTAAAGTAATTTCTAAACTTTTTATATTTTTCAACATTAGCGGAGTTTGGTGCAGCGACTGCTATTTTATACAGTCGATTCTGTTTTTTTGATAATTTTATTATTTCATCAGATACCCATGCTTTTTTATATTTTTGTTTCTGCCACTGCAGAGGTGCGTATGTGTCAAGAGTTTTATTGAGTATATTGTAGAAATTCAGGCATGCTGTATCTATATTATTCTCGTTTTTAACTGAATGCCAATTTTGAAGTGAGAGGGCTTTTTTTATAAAGAAAATGGATGTTTTATTAATTTTTCTACATAAAATTTGGTCATCATTGATAGCAGTTTTAAAATTTTCTACTATTGCATAAACTGGAAAATGGTCAGAAAAGTCTGAGACTATGACTCCACTTTCGCAATGTTGATACAGGTTCGTAAATATATTGTCGATTAATGAATTGGCGTTACAAGTTACTCTTGTTGGTAAATTAATTAAAGGCGAGAAACAAAATGAAAATAGTAGATATATATATATATATATATATATAGTACAAAGTTTAAATTTTTTTTAAATAATTTGAAACTACACATAACACAATTGTACAATATGAATGTGTAAATACAATATTATAAATGTATTATAACTACGTGTATATATATATATATATATATATATATATATATTTCTTTATTTAGTTTTGCCTACGTATGATATTTGGTTAAATTTATTTGATAAGAATTGAATATAATCTTTATACAGGCTGATCAACTACCATCTAGTGAAATAACTACTGTTAACATGACGTCATTTCCCCCAATGATTTCTCAACGATATACCCATCCTATTTTATAAATTTTATTTGATGTTTTTTAATTAGTCACAATCATCATCGATATCGCAATGAAATCAAATTGAGAATTTTTTAAATTAAAAAAAAAGTATCTTTATTCATTTTATGATACTATTTTGTTCAATAAGATACTGTTTGATACATATAACTAGAATAAATATAACGGCCTTCGATCACTTTCAACGGTCGAACAAGGAGCTTACTTCTGGAGGGGAGATGGAGGGTGGTTTTTTATCGTTCGAGTCAAAAGTTACGGTAGTATATTTACTAATTACGGAATATTGCTTTTATTTAAAATGTTAAAATTTTATTTTTTTAAATTGTTATTCAATATGGTAATTAATTACTTTTATTTGGTATAAATTTAAACAAATAAAATCGACATTATCAAAAATAATTAAAAGTTGCAAAAATTGAGATTCTTTGCATATCCCTGCTTCAACCCATAAGAAAGTGTTGTATAATGGTAAATAGGCCTCCCCTTGGGTTAACAGGTGAAACAAGTCAACAGCTTCAATTATCTCGGAAGTCTGATTACCTCAGGTTGTAAATGTGATATGGATATCAAAAGAAGGATAGCTATGGCGAAAGATGCATATTATAAAATGAAAAACATTCTTACCAACAGTAAAATCAGAATATCAACAAAATTAAAACTGTATGGGTGCTACATTTTTCCTGTGCTAACTTACGGTTCCGAGTTATGAACAATTTCTAAAGAAATGGTTAAAAAGATTAACGCTGCTGATATGTGGATTTTGAGAAGAATTATGAAAATTAGTTGGACCTCTCATACTTCGAACGAAGATGTATCAAAACAGTTCGGTTATGAAAAGAGCAAAATTGTTACAGATAATCCGACGGGGGCAGTTAAAGTTTTTGGTCACATCATGCGGAAGGAAAGAATGGAAAATCTAACAACTACTGGAAAAATTGCAGGGAAAACAGTTCGCGGTCAACAACGAATAACATTCGTGAAATCCTTGTGTCACATGTTGAATATCACCACATTTCAACTTTTACAAAGTGTTAAAAATTAGGTTTTGTGGAGGGCGATAGTCGCCAATTTCCTGAAAGGATGAGGCAAGAGAAAGAAGAAGAATATTTTGGTGTAAGATTCCGCTGAGGTATCGTAATAACGCAACTTTACATTTTCATACAAATATGAAAATGAATTTACTCAAATATTAATGTTAAGTCAATTTTATTTCAGGAATTTAATTTAAATAAAACGTGCTTTTGATTATTTCAAGCATTTTATTGTATTGTACTCTTCACTGTATAGAATATATATATATATTAAACATATTCTATATTTATATATATATATATATTATATATATATATAACATATTCTATTTATATATGATTGTATATTAACTCATTTGTGAGTGATCGAAGTAGAAATTATAACGTTTGTGATTTCCCTAGGCGTTTTGGTTGCCCGTGTAAACGAAAGTTTGTTTTCATTAAAAGTAAAATGTTGGTCGTTCGTGTGGTGGGAATAATAAATGAGGTTCAAAATGATTGTTAGAAGAAAACTTTGCAGCTTTTATTCAATAATTGCTGCTTTTCTGCTTGTAAATCTTATCATCAATTTGTCTAATATTTTTACTAGTCACGGTCGCATTTCAGAGTCGTTAAAATTTAACGTTAAATTTAAGTCGTTAAATTTAAATAATAATAGTAATAATAATAATGATAATGTTGATGATAATAATAGTAAAAAAATAAAATTATCGGATCCAGTATTAGCAGGCCAACAAATAAGCATGCTCATACAGCGTCCAGATAGAAAATTTGTTTGGAATGCCACTGGTTTAACTGAAGACCAGTTTTATAAACTTCAAGATGTTTTAATAAATCCTTTTCCTTTTAGTGTCATGGTTAAACCCAGAAAAACATGTGAAGAAAGTGTTCACAGTGTTATATTGGTTCACAGCACGTTTGATAATTTTAAAAAACGAACAGCAATTAGATCAACCTGGGGGTCCACAGTTAACAAAAGTTTCATTTGGCCTAGGGTTGGGCCATTAAATCATTCTATGGCGTTGTTCTTTGTGTTTGGAAAATACAAAGATGAAAGCAAAAATGATGGAATTTATGAAGAAAATTTAGAGTTTGGAGATATTGTACAAGGCAATTTTGTCGATTCTTATAAAAACATGACTTTAAAATCTTTGTTAGATTTTAAATTTATCATTGAATTTTGTAGTATGGCAAAGTTTTTAATAAAAAGTGATGATGATATGTTTATAAACTTGCCTTTCCTTTTAAATGAAATGGATGAAATGCCCAAACGTTCTATTATGGGAGCCCTTTGTGTTGGATCTAAAACTAGAAGATTTGGAAAATGGTTGATTACCAAAGAAGAATTTCCTTTTGAGACCTATCCAACTTATGAGGCAGGTGCAACCTATGTGATCACTCGAGACTTGTGGGAGGATATCTTCAATGCTTCTTATTTTGTACCATATATATTTATTGATGATGTTTATATCACAGGCATTATTGGTAAAATTTTGAATGTAACCCATGTCTCAAAAAACAAATTTGCATATTGGACTACGAAGGTAAATGATAACTGTGATTTTGTAACAAATAAAATGTTTACTGCAACATCTTTAACCGCTCAAAAAATAGTAGATATTTGGAAATCACTACCAGATTTGAAATGTAATGAAACAAATATTGTTTGAGATTGCTTTATTTCTCTTTTTAACCTTTTTTCCCATGTTATTTATTTAGTAAATTGCATTCCAAATTTTTATTATCTCATTTAAGTTATTGTTAAGTTTATTTATTCAGCTTTGTTAGCAAAATTTATAACATTTACCAACTTTATGGTTCATCAATGTTCCCATTAATGTGTTTACCACTGCACATACATTTTTTATATTTCAATTTTTCATTAGTAACCTTTTTATACAATTGCAAAGTGCACTTATAATTTGCCTTTCATTATAAAAGGTTTTTTCTTACCTGTGTTGTATTCAGTCCAAAAAGAGGAGGTATAAGAAATGATTAGTTAACCGTCTGAAGTTTCTAATTTTTGTTTAATTTTATTCGTTTCTGTAAAATAATGAATGTTTCTTGGCTGACATATGAACTTGTATAAATGTGTTTAATTGTTATGTATCCTATTCTATAAGTGTGTTTTTCTTTTCTATAGCGTAAATAATATAAAGCAGCATTTTTTATTTACAATTCAGTTTTAAAGTGACCATGCAAATCTTGTGTCAAATATTTTTGAAATCTTATATCAATCAATCAATCTTCGTTTAGCGTCCAGAGACCCAGTTTCCCGAGGTAGGACGTTGTTTTCTTTGCCATCAACTTTTAGCGCTAAATTAGACGATCAGTTGTATCCATTTCATTGAAATTTAGAGCTTCCATGTCTTGCTCGATTGTTTGCGACCAGGACTTCTTTGGACGGCCTTTGGGACGTGTGCCAGGTACTTCAACATCTGCAAGAGAAGTTATGGCACTGTTTCCACTTCGTTTGACATGACCAAACCACCGCAGACGGTGTTTCCGACATTCATCCTTTATATCATCTGAACCAGCACGACGCAGGATTTCGGTAGATTTGATGTGGTCTTTCAGACTAATTCGTTGCATCCATCGGAGCATTTTCATATCGGTTCGGTGAAGTTGTTCCAGTTTGGTTGTCATTGGCCATGTTTCTGCACCATATAACAACACCGGACGTATCACTGATTTATAAAGTCTTGATCGTAGTGGTAGTGGAATGTCACGCCGCATCAATACAGAGGCAAGGAGATGCCATTTATTCCAGGCTGCACGTATGCGTGCTCGAACGGCAGCTGCAGCTGTTCCAGTACAATCCAGAACATCCCCTAGACATTGAAACGATGTGACTTTCTCTACCTTAATGGCTTCAAAAACATTGCTATTTCGAATTTGTTGTTGTGGATTGATGCAAGCAGGACAAACAAAATTGGACACTTTAGATAAATTACTAATTATTTTTGAACAACGTTTGTGACACCACTGGTTACACTGCTGACACTTGATTGAATTGTTACCTACATCAGCTTTACAAACTGAACAGGGCCATCGCCCAGTAGCAGTGGATTGGATTGTTTCACCTGTGTTCATTGCTTTGGTTTTGCTGATGTTGACTTTGAGTCCATGATTGGCAAGTCTGGTGTTCCAATCTTCAAACATCTGTGTTGCATTCTGCTCAGACGTGGCTGTTAAAACGATATCATCAGCATATAGGAATGGGACGGATCCAAGATTTTGGGATCCGTGGATCCGAATCCGGATCTCGACGATGGATCCGGACGGATCCGAATCCGAATCCGGATCCATGTTGTATGCGGTCATAAAACTAAATAAGCTGTTTCTCTGACGAAAATCAAATTTTTGTTTTGAATGTTAAATTTGTAGAGGTGCAAAACGAATCTCAAAAACATCAGTTTTCATAACTTTAAATGATTATTACGTAATCAATGTTGATATTTAGATTCACTTTTTCCCTCAATCGATAAAATTTTCTCGCCGCTTAAGTTGATTTTGGACCCGTAAAACGCCGAATCCTCAATTTAGGATCCGCGGATCCGAATCTTTTCCGAATCCCTGGATTCGGATCCGAATCCGGATTCGGAACCGTCGCATTCCTATCAGCATATATTAAATTCCAAATGTCACCAGTGCGTATCGGTTTTGTGATTTCTTCCATCACAGTTATAAACTGAGAATCGAGCCTTGGTGAACTCCAACGCCGATGTCATATGCATCTGTGTTTCCAACCGTTGTGCTGACGAGAGTCTTAGTATTCGTATACATTTCCATCACAATTCGAACAAGATATTCTGGAATAAATTGTCGACTAGACTCCACCTGATTGCTTCACGGGGAACTCGATCAAATGCTTTTTCAAGGTCTACAAAAATGTGTGATAGTTGTTGATGCTTCGCGAGGTACTTCTCTCGCAGTTGCCGAAGGATGTGAATTGCATCAATTGTTGATTTTCCCGCTAGGACACCAAATTGATAAATTCCGATTGTGATGCACGACGTTAATCTTCTCAATGATTTTCTCGACAATTTTCAAGGAGTGTTCTAACAGACGCATACCCTGATATGATGAACATTTCAATGGACCTTTGCCTTTGTATAGCGGGACTGTCATGCTATAGTTCCATCCAGTCGGCATTGAACAATTTCTCTACACTGCACGGCAAAATTGTAGTAACGTTTGAATACTTGCAGTACCAGATGCTTTGATAATGTCATTTGTGAGTCCCGAGGGCCCTGCTGCCTTTCCATCCTTCATAGCTTTCAGAGCTTCTGTAAGCTCCTCTACAGTGATGTCTGAAATCGGACCTTCGATGGGTGGAGCGTCAAAGTTGACATTGATGGGATTTGTTTCATTTAATAGACGGGTGAAGTATTCTTTTCACTGTAGCTTGATCTCATCTTGTTCAAGAACCATCTAACTTTTGTCGTTTTTGATACATGAGGCACCAACTATGTCTTTTTTCGTACGCTTTGCTTGTTTTGCTATATGATACAGAGATTTCATTTGTTCACCTTTGCTTTTAGTGAGCCACTCTCTGCGCTGATCTGTCCGAGCCAATGCATAGTTGTTCTTCTCACTGAAATCTTATAAAATTTGTAATAAAATTTAAAAATAATTGTATTATTAAATTATGCTCATCCAAATTAAATTTCATTTATTTGTCATTTAAATTTATTTTATTCTTCATCTAAATTACGTTCCAATATTATCAATCACTATATAATCCAGAATTGTTAATAGATATGCATGCATATATCAATTAATATATCAATTTTCTTGTTTATCTATTTGTTTTAAGTTAAATTTATTTATAGTTAAGTGTGACATTGCGTGTGTGGATGTAGGTGTGTGTGGATGAGTGAGTGTGTGTGTGTGGGTGTGAATGAACATGCCACTCCATTCCAATCCTTCCGCTTATATTTCTATCATTACATTGTGTAATTCTTATATTTATGCTACTACTTGTAACATGTTAATGTATGTGTCATAATTTGTTAATACCGATTGCATTTTTAATTATTTCTCGTCTCTGTTTATATGTGAATATGCTAATTAGTTTTTATATATGTATGTGTGTGTGTATATGTGTATGTAAAATTAGGAAGAAGACCAAATTCTAAACATCAGAGGGTCCGCCGTTTGTCGGTTTATGGGTTGAATTTTTAATTGAAGGGATAGCTTATGAACTTATGGGTGCTGGGTCGTCGGTGGATTTTTTGATTTTTAGAGCAAATATATGTATGTGCATATATATTTATTATTATCAATAATTTATTGCTACCGATTGAATTTTTAGTTATTTTTTTGTCTCTGTTTATATGTGAATATGCTATTTAGTTTATATACATGTATGTATGTATGTATGTATGTATGTATGTATGTATGTATGTATGTATGTATGTATGTATGTATGTATGTATGTATGTATGTATGTATGTATGTATGTATGTATGTATGTATGTATGTATGTATGTATGTATGTATGTATGTATGTATGTATGTATGTATGTATGTATGTATGTATGTATGTATGTATGTATGTATGTATGTATGTATGTATGTATGTATGTATGTATGTATGTATGTATGTATGTATGTATGTATGTATGTATGTATGTATGTATGTATGTATGTATGTATGTATGTATGTATGTATGTATGCATGCATATCTATAATTATAAATAATTTGTTACTTTAATTGCA